CATTTTTATGATCACCAGACATAAGGCCACAGTTGTTGTTTGTGACCGACCTACATTCTAAGTCATGAGTAAATGTTTTCTCTGATAACTGACTCATTTCTTAATAATCTTGGTTAAATACTTTGCATTTAGGCGGAAGTTATATTTCCCTAAAACATATAACTCAATCAGATGATCAGTGGTTTCACTGTATGACATATAATCAACTGGGTTTTAAGGCCCAGTTTTGTGAGAAAAATGATCATTTGACTTTTTCAATAATTTGATTATTCTCTTAGAATCCATCCCAATTGTTAAGTCATAACATATTGCATTATGTACGTGATATAATCAAATAAAATGTTTAGGTTTATTTATATTAACTAATATTTGTTTCGCCTTTCAGAATTTGTTATTTCTGAGTTTTACTGATATATTTTGTGTTTTTCTCTGATACTCTATCACTAGGTAACCTTAGTAAGTTATTATAGTATAAACTATTTGGTCTGACTATCTTGTGTGATATTGATTACCAAACCTTGCGACATTACCGCTTCGTGTTATTTTTAAACAAAAATTATACAACGACTTGATTATATCTTCAAAAGTGAGGTTAAGTCTAATGTTTTTAAAATATTGTTTTTATTATGTCGTAGAATCTATGTCGCAAATGATCGTGTGACTTAATTAATACCTAATTGTTATAGTGGAACTAGTGATTTAAGAAATTTTAGAACTTGTTCAAATCAATTAAATACCAAACTGAGTTTTGTATTTAAATGATCTTACCGGACTTTAAGTAATGATAACTTTGTTTTGTTTTCTACCTTGAAGACTGATCGCTTCTGATCACAAGACCACTTACTTTAGCTACTGATTAAATCAAACAATACCTGACACCTTATAAAGTACTGTAGTGAAGAATTTTCGACCGATCACTTGACTCATTTGGTAGAATAGATAACCCAGTCACGAAACTAAACCTCTGAATTCCAGCCAAAACAAACCATTAGGAAGTCGACTAATTAGCTTTTCAGAAAATATATAGTAAATATTTAAGCAAGATATTTTGCGTTATTGACTAGTGAGGTTACCAATAAAAAATGTGACATCATATGATCACAGAAGAATTACTACATCCACACAATAAGGATGACAATAAGTCACAAACACGGAAAATATGTTTAAACTTCACAACTTCGTGGATATTATTCATCACTAACTTTAAAATTTGTTAGAGCATAAGATATTTTGTAATATCAGAAATAAATTACTAATTAAATAATTTTTCATTATAGCTATGCTACATATTCTTGTGGAGTTAACTATGATAAATTCATCCAGAGAGTTGATCAAACCTTAACGATGCAACACAAAAAAAAGTATCAGATTAATTTTCAGTTACATATTTCTATTACGATTCTATCAAAGCACTAACTTATGTTATTATTTTCTCTTTCATTACAAATTATTCCTTTTTAAAGTAACTAAGCTTAAGTTTAAAATATCATTAATAATACAAGGAGGTTGGAGATTATGTAACAGAATAGTATGAACAGATCAATATTATTACTTGAGGTGAAACATTTAAATAATAAATAACAGTAACTGGTCTGTGTGTATCAGTATTGAAGTGAAAGATAAATTTTTCTATAAGATAGAAAGTCCATATCTATACAACAAAGTCAAGAAATTAATGTCAATGTTAATTTTATCAATAAAAATCAACGACCCTGTGTAGCATGTCATTTCGAATTAGATGCAAAACAAATTCCCTACAACTTTCAAACTAACAGATGAAAATTAATCAAGAAAGAAGGTATTTCCAAGAGCTCTATTTACAGGAAGCAAATTCTGTGTAAATGAAAGCCATCGATGCCATTCGAAATGACAACTCGTCAAATGAAATCGATAAGAAAAATGAACGTAATCCAAAATCAAAGGCCAATCATGTTCAGTCATCAATTATTCAAAAATGAATTTTATATAACTTGAATACAAATGATAACTATGTTGGATTTATAAGCGAAATCTGGAGAATTGAAAGGACTTGTCAGATGTTCAAGTATACATAAATCCGATAGTCCAATAAGTTATTATTGTTTTACTGATTATCCAACAAATTGGTATATCTGAAGCAGCAAATAGCTCTCCAAATGAATAGCTTTAGAGGCATTCCACAATGATGCCGAACGTGATAGTCCTAGTAGACAAAACTACTTGAAAGCGTTCAGTCAAGCCTGGAAGACTCCTCTATAAAGTTAGATTAACAGTATCCCGTCTATCAATCTCTGTATTCGGTCAAATACTTTGTTAATACCAACTTACCATCTTCTTTCATGCTTGCCTTATGGAGACCATACTTTAAGCTTATGGATTACATGACCATCCTATTATATTGTATCAACATAATCTTTATCGTCCTCAGAAACTTGTAAATCACAGGGATGCTTTCCAAAATGCATAGTCCCACGCTTGTTGAGGTTAAATGGTAATTACCATTTTTCACTCCAGATAGTTAGGTTATTGAGGTCACCTTGAATCTAGGATACACTTTCGCTTAGAGCTTCAGGTTTAAAGCTATATATTATTTTGAGATCATCAGCATATAAGTATGGTCTCCCAAATTTTATGTTCTTGTTTATATATATATATATAACACTTCCCTGGATAACTCCACTAGTTATTGGTCTAGGTGACGAGAGTCATTGTACTTTACCATTTGTTTACGATCTGTTAAACCATAGTCAAAGCAAATCTAAAATACATAACATTGATAGGGAAGCTCTCGGTGTTTTTTACACTACATGCTCAATTATAAAACTTATTACATATCAATGCATGTTCGATTTCAAACAAAATTTCAAGGTTGAGAACCTTGTCCTATTATTAATGCATTTATACATGTATATCCTCTAAACTACAATGCTAGGATTATTACAGATTTTAATTACCCTCGAATAAACTGAAATACCGATAGTTGTCAGTCATGTAATGATGAAGTCTCGGCAACCATTAACATTCACTTTTAATCACGTTGGGTTCGTATCCTAACAAGGGGTGGTATTATACTTAACCTAGCATCCTGTACAAATATCATCCTACTATCTATCTAAGTATACGATGAATTTGAAAGCAGTGACGATAAAATTGTAGTTGGTGGTCTCTATCTGTCCTTCTTAAAACCAACCAAAAGAATCCGTCAATTTAGGAATTATAGACGTGTTAACTGGGACCTCCTGCACTCTCTGGTAAGATTCTCAGACTGGGATGCCTTCTTGTGTAATGGTCTTGTGGATGCCACCGCCACATTCTATCTGATCACTGACCCTTGTTTAGATTCCTGCGCATTTCTTAAAACGTACAGAATTAGTAAACCAAACGAATTACTCATACCAGCTAAATATCGTAATAAACTAAAACGCTTTCAGAAACATTATTTTACGTCAATTTCACGGCAATTGTACAAATAACTGTAATTCTTAACCAACTTAAAGAAAAGCACAGGTTGAAAGCCATTAATGAGGAGTTTTTGGCACTTAATAACAGGTCAAAAGTAAAAAAACCTTTACTCACCTTTTCAATAATAAACATGGTAGAGCCGAAGGGAGATATCCCAACGTTTACTAACTACGTTGTCGCTGTGACATCTATTAAGTGTAAATCACCATATGCACTAATCATTATAAAATGTTCAAAAAGAAACACTTAATTTACTACAAGTATGATAGAATGTAACTTAAGTGGTTGTCAATAAGCATAGGCGTTTTTATAATCTAGACACTGAATCTTATTAATGTACAGGTTGAAAGATCCATTTTGATACTTTGCCTTATTGCTATTGATTAGAAATTTATAGAACGATCAGCATTTTTATCAGATAATTTTCAAAGTCCTAGTGTAGTAGACGCTATTCACAAGATTGCTTGTAAGTAGTATGTTGCAGGACGTGACCTCTAAGCTGTCGGAACACTTGGAGCCCAGAAGACTGTTCGGATTCCAGAGTGCATCAAAGGTTCCAAATGGACGATTGAAGATTGTTGACGTATTATGTAAATGCTTTGTAACTTCTCACAACAAACATACATCCCTTATGCATATTGCCTTCTTTTACAGAACCCCATGTTATTTCCGGATGATCCTGTGTTTTAGTGATACATAGGTTACTGGGGAAAGGATTTCGTCCATTTGTACAACTTGCTCGTTATCGATGTAATAATGTATTTGGTGCCTGATCGTAACCTCACCTACAACCTAATCTGATGAGTAAAAGACCTCACAAAGATCCATCAGCTTTGTATAATGAGGGGGTCAAACTTCAAATCAAAAATCATTTTAACTATTTTCCTCACAATTAGACAAGTTTAAGCGTGAATTTCATAACGACAAACGTTTACAGTCCATTATCAGCTGAAAAGTGGGATGGATTCCACATTCCATCTAGTGTAAGAACAGTGTATGTCTGAGAACCTGGAAATACGTCAACCTTAATCCTATATGTTGGGTTACATCATATGCTGCTAGGCTATGAAATTGTATTAAGACAGTGTAAATTCTAGCTGTAATTCGATGGATTGATAACAGGCGGGATATCATTAGCCACTTATTACTTGTTTATTGTATGTGCTTTATCATATTTTATATTTGATTTGATTAGAGAACAATAAAATTACCAGAATGAAGACTTCTCTTTTAATTAGAATAAGCACCTTTTTATTAAATGAACATTATCCTTAGAACACTTACATGGTGAATTAATGTTTCTAATTGATAATAAATATATGTTAGTTAACAACACTGAGTTTTGCATCAAAACTAGTGATGACCATTTTTCAACAAAGAAATTAATAGACCTATGTTCTAGCATGTTTTCTGTCATTATTTTATTTCAAATACTTATATTAAATAAATAGAACTTGTGAGAAAGTAAAAACAGAACAACAGCTAGATTTATATATATATATTGAATTTCTTAATTCACAGAACATAATGAAATAACCTATTAGATTAATTCACCAAATAAGCAGAAGCAGAATATTGAAAATTTCGAAATAATAAGTATGAATCAGACAGTTTATACGAATCTATCCATAATGATAATACAAGCCAATTTGCTGTTTTTAAAATTATCTTGTTTTATTCCTATGTGTAGGATGAATTGTAAATATCAAGCAAATAAAAAATCTTTAAATCGTGTTTCACTTTAAATTTAACAAAATAACTGATTGTTGGATAGGTCAGTAGATTAACAAAAGCAACAACAATGGTAGTAGTGACCTTAAAAAATGATTGTCAAGAATCTTTTCACATTTTAACAAACAATTTTAAGATATTTAAAAAAAAACAGTGGGAAAAGGGTTTGAAAACAGAAATTCACAAGGGGCTGTAATATCCAACTTGACGATTACATGATGGACAAAAATGTCGAGCACTTTTTGTGGAATCCAGACAGAATGGAATCAAGCAGCAACCAAAGAAAAACCTGCAATGAAAATAAACGTTAAAAATCAATATTTCGTAATGGCTGTAAGCTTTTTATTGACAAGTACACGGACTAGATCGACATATATTTGCTGACAACATACTGCCCCGAAAGCACATGGGGTCAGCATACCAATTCCGTAGAAAACAACCTTGCTACAAAAAATTCTAACCATAACAAACAAATTAAACCACTTAAACGCTGCCCTCCAAGTTCAAGAAAGAATTTTGAAGTCTCGAGGTGAAAGCTGAGATTCTTTCGAAGTCACGACGTATATGTCCCGTCTAACAACCAGAGCAACAATTAATATAGGTACATGGAACGTTCGGACAATGTGGGATACTGAGAGGACTAAACAAATAGCAACGTAGATGAGGAGATACAACCTGGTGGTGCACGGAACACGTGAAACGCATTGGACCGAAGCTGGACAGAAAAGGTTAGATATGGAAGAGATGCTGCTGTACAATAGGCACGCAAAAGAAAATGCTCCTCACATACAAGGAGTTGCACTGATGCTATCCAAAGAAGCACGAAAATCATTTATAAGATTGGAATCTCATGGACCCAGAATCATTAAAGCATCCTTCAAAACAAGGAGGGAGGGGATTACAATGAATGTTATGCACCAACCAATGGTAGTAATGAAGACGATAAAGATCAGTTTTACTAGAGGCTGCAGTCAGTTGTAGAGAAGTGCACCACAAGGATCGATGTTGAACCACTTCACCTTAGGTCTATTATACAAGATCCAAGTCAACAGTTGGAAACTACATAAATTTATCCTGTTTCTGGTCGGACCACCACTAGTTTTAACCTTCACTTATACTGTCCAGCATAGTGCGTCAGTGTAGCCAATGACTGAACAGGCGCAATTACCCCGGTTAATGAATGATTGACGGACTTGACATTTCTAACTAGTGCTCAAGGTCTAAACCACAGCATTTTTAGCTCAATGGTTCTGTCATACACGAATAATACCTTGAAGATGCATATGATTGGATGCAAACTATCACATGATACAATTGTCAAGAATTTGGATTCTATGTCATTAGGAATTTTCCCATACTCAGCCACATTAGGCTGAAGATGGCGGAATGTGATCCTCATTTCTGTTTTAGATTTTTGAAGTAAACCACAACCCTCACAAGTTTGCTTTTAAGGTTAAATATCCAGTTTTATCTTCGCATTTTTATGTAAAAAGATAGTAAGTTTCCAGTAGTCAAAGAACATTTGAGCTAGAAGTTTTACAATGTTGGTATTGATGGAGTATTCGACAACCTATTTGATTATTCAGATATCACGTGCTTCTGAATTCAATAAGATGGCTATAAAATGGTTACAAGATTCGATAAATACAGTGAAAAAAGGTTGATATAAGTAAAAATTTCACTTGTCTGTCTGATTTTATCCGAATAAAATAGGTTATATGAACCCACCCGAAGAAGCAGAGGATTCCACATAACAACCACGGCAAGCACCCGGATTCTAACCTAACCCTTGTAATACCAGAGTTATGGCAAAAGGGACAGGTAATACCAACAGGATATCGGTGGTATGCAGTTGTGGTCACCGTCGGTTGATGAACAATCACTGTGGCTAAGGTAGATAAGATAACAATTAGTTTATTGTATTATGAAAAAACAATAGAATCACTGGTAGCACTCATTTATGTTACCTTAATTTTCAAAGTAAATTCCATGCAAAATATAAGACATAATTTAAATATTAATCATAATCAACTGGACTGCATTTTTAAAAATTTTTTGTCTACTTTGGTATGCTTTTCGTGGATGGCATTCTGTGTCAGCTATAAATATACAGTTGATTCACCTCTCTGGTAAGTGATTTACTTGCACTCCTTGGATAAAACATTATAGAATACAGTTTGTGTGCCTTAAGACAGCATTAAAAAGATAAAAGAAACTCTATCAATTTGCGAAAAACTAAGTGTATTAGCATTTCTGTGACAAATTTTAAGCCACGTTATATATGATTTTTAACCATTAATTCAACCATTGTCAGAAGCATTGTTGGGGAGTTTTACAGATCTTCGATGCTGATCAGATCAGTGGGTAAATGCGAAACAAAGAATGTGTCATATTTTCACCAGGACATTTAAAGACTTATTTTGTTTTACTTCAATTTCAACCGTGATATTTTACATAATGTTAGTTCACAATCTTATCAATTAATTTACCACTGACACCACATAAGACTTATCAAATATGGTTTCAACGGTTTGAGTGTATTGATTCGGATGACATTTTGCACTATGCGACGTTTTGTGCAACCTCGCAGTTTAGTTTAAATGTTTCAGGAAAACACAGTGCTTGGAACCTTAAAATACATCTGAAGTATAACAATAAAAACTGAGTGATTAAATTGCCACTTCCATTTAGAACAAAAAATTTTAGGGAATAAAGACTGGAGGATTACTTTTTTACCCGGAATTTCAACGAATACAGTTGTTTAAAAAGAATTACAAATGAAATGAAGAAAAGCTAGACACTCCGTAAATATATGTGTACGGTAATCAGTCTTTCTATTTTTAAAAAAGTTTTAACTTCAGGATGACTTGCACTAGTGATATGAAAAGCAGTGGGGAGTATTTTTGTTTTGATTGCGGTAATTGCAGTAGATAATTGTACTCATGATAAAACGAATGACCATGTACAGGGAACTTAGATACAGATGATTGGTTAATAATAAATAAAAAACCTAAAGACTAGATCGACATTATCTGTACAATGACGGTTTGTGGAGGTGAAAGAAGTCAAGGAAATATGAAGATTTGTAGTAAATAGTAGCCACATGGTATCCAGACCATAGGAATCAATACGAAAACACCAGTGAAAAGTCAGTGAGTCAGTAACAACGTAGTGTAAAGTGGAAAATAGTAGAGTATGACAAGTGAATTTCGTGTCTTTAAGTCATACTAAGATGTTTGTTGGGTATAAAGGTTGGAATTAATTCTACTTTAACGCTCTCCATTCTAGAAGGAGCAGAGATAAATGATAAATGACAACAAAGGAGTAATATTGGATATCGGTTTTTTAAATCATGATATCCATAATCATGATGCTCACCTGGAGCATAGTACAAATAAAACTAATGAAAATAGGTTTAGTTAGCGATAAATTTTACGTACTATTATCGTCTCTTAAATTTTAGAAAATAATATCACTTAGGATTATTTTGTTGTCAGAAATCTTGAGCGATACTGTTGTGTTAGTAAATTATGTGAAAACAAAACCATAACGTTGGACAAAGGTATAATTTAAGGAAGGAAACTGATCATCTCAATACATGAATCTACTCTCTGATTGTTGAATGATAGAATTTACTTTTCCCCATCGCCAAAGCTGGGATGCAGTAATACAAATAATTTATTCTCAATTACATACGATCATTATAAATAGTAGCTCAGTATGTAGATTTATTTATGGTTAAGAAATTTTTAATTCATGCTGTATTCGCAATCAGTTGAAGGGATACTGTTGAAAAATAATGATGTTCATTACCAATAAACAGCTTCGAGGTTACGGAAATCGGCATGTGGTTTCTTATGGAAGAATCAACTTCAAAACCCAAGTGACCCACAAAATAATAAACTTGATAAAACTGGACAGTTAACTGGTGATAACTCAGTAGTAGATAGATCGAAAGTATTTACATAATCCATATATAACTGAAATTCAGTCATTTGAAGTAAAATAAGTTCTATATGCAAACCTATCCTGCATTTTTACTTTGCATCAATTACCCACAAATGCGTGTAAAGTACGATCAAACTGAAAGCAGCTGCTAAAACGAATCATTAATCATTTATCAGTTTAACATGTAACAGTTTCTGCACAGAACTAGATGCTTCCGACTATTAAAAAAGAAGTGCCCTTTTCACTTTGAAATTCTCAGTTTATAAAATATCATATAACTAACGATAATTATGCTTGGGTTCATGACTAAGTTTCATATCAATATTTGTTAGAAAAAATCGGATACATTCTTTTTTATCCGGTTTTTCCCATCCATTTATACTTTGAAAATATGAAAATTAATCTATTCAAAAGAGAAAAAATATTTGAATATTTGAAAACATCAAACATTTCCTTTAGAATTTTCGTTTATTATATTCAATACTCTACAGAAAGTGAAATAAAACGTACAAATGAGAAAAATTTATATTCTACAGGGAAATAGTTAAGAAAAATTCCTTTCCTGTTTAAAATAAACATTTTTCTAGTAAATGTTTCAATGAATATAGCCATGTTAAATGGTGAAAATCAAAGGATACACTGGTATACAAATAGTGAATTACATAAAGAAATTTTGTAAAAACATGTTTGTTTAAAACAACATATAATATAAACCAATTGTATAAATCGCTTTCCAGATACTTACTTATTCCTAACACCCTTCGTCAAAAGAAATAAGCAGTCCACCGGCATTCTCCATCGAACTCTGTCCTAAACAATCCTTTCCAGTTGCTATCCACGCTTTTGATTTCTGCTTACAGTTTTCGACACATGGTTAGCGCTTGCTTCGTTATGCAGTTCGATTATTTCTGCAATGTATGTCCTATCCACCTCCGTCGTTTCCTAATTTCCTCTACAGCTGGAAGTTGGGTTGTTCTTTCCCACAGTAGGTTTTTGCTGATGGTACCCGTTCAACGGACATTGACTGTCTTGCGTCTCTCCATCAAATGTGACTGGGTTGGTGTTCTCCGTGTTGTAGTTGAGGATGTTGCTTTTTCCCTTGTGTATGTTGAGGCTTATTGATGCAAAGGCTCCTGCTACACTGCCTGTCGTGACCTGCATTTGTTGGTGTGGATGGGATAGAAGGGCTAAGTCATCTGCAAAGTCCAAATCGTCTGGCTACATCGACTCCCCACTGTGTTCCGTGCCTTCCTGAAATTTGAAGGTCTTCAGAATCCAATTAATTATCGTATGAAAAAGAAAGGGTGAAATTAGGCAACCTTACCTATGTGTAATTTTAGTGCTTCAGGTGGTATACTGCCAGGTCCTGCTGCTTTCCCATTCCTGATCTGTCTGATGACCACCCTGATTTCTTCCATCGTTGGCGAAGTAACGGTCATAGGAAGGTCTGTGTCGCTTTTTCGATGTCTGGTGAATTAAATGGAGTTCTATCCATCTGTTCCTTTGTTCTTGAATCTCAGTGATTGGGTTGCGTTCTTTATTCTTCACCGGTCTCTCTGGTTTATCGTATTTCCTTACTAGTTTTTCTTTTCGTTGAGTCATACAGTCGTCTCATAGTTCCCTCTGCTGCAGCTTTTCCCACTGTCGTTGCTAGGTCACGATTTTCAGAGGTAATAGATGAACTACTTTTAGACTCTAGGTACCCGTGACAGACACCCTATTGTCACTAAAACACAAGACAGTTGGTAACAGGAATTCGTCCTTGGTGTGTGTGGTCTTACCACATCTCAGACGACATGGTTTGTAAGTTAGGACCTTACTGAAAAAATAATCCAGCCCCGTTGGGTCATCATTATTCTCAGGACCAACTGCCGCATTAAGAAAACAAATGCGATTATAGATGTGACTGTCTGTTCAAGAGTTCTTTATTCAAAACACGTTGCTAAACAGGAGATTCATAACATCCACCAATCTACGAAACTAACAATAATGTCTGGGTATTCCAACACCGTAACAACAAATAAACAAATTAATAAATAATAATGCTTGCCTGGTGGTGCAGGTTGGTAGCCAGATCCCATAAATACATTACTGGTTGGTTGGTTAATTTGTGGGTACAAGGGATAAGGACATGGATCCTGAGTTGGATAAGGCGCAGTTGGAGGAGAGTAAGGAGGAGGAGCTGAAAGATGAAAATAAAAATATATCTAGCTGAATATCACCAGAAACGAGCGCCCGTATCTTTCGTTTTTATTTACTGCCTAGAAGACTAATGCTTTCTAAGTGAAACATGCTTCAGATACTTTGTCTTTACAACCGACTGATATAGGCAATCCCTTTTAGATGTAATTCTTAATTACTCCAGCAAAATTGAACGAAATTTCGTAAATGGATGTCCATCAAGAATTTCGAGTCATGTCTTTTTCTTACAATTAAATACACTGTCAACGATATTTTCGGCATGTTAACAAAAAATGGAGTTGATGTAGACGATAACAATACGGATAAGGATGTGATCTATGCTAATCTAGTAGCCAGTAAAAACCAATCAGACCAACTTCTTTTGACATACCCCAAATGCAAGCGAAAGATGAGGAACATGAGCTTTGATAAAACTCACCAAACTTGCACCAAGAGGGCGAAGACGAAGTTTAAACAGTTAATGAGTCACATAAAATAGGAGGGTATGGTAAATTCACCTTCTAATTAATTAGAAAAGAATTTCCGACATTTTTAGTTTCGCTCAAACGACTCCAGACTGATCATTCTCTATTGTACTTCGACAATCATATGTTACATTATAGCACCCACCTGTAACTTAAAGCTAGTTTGAAAAGGTTGAGGTGAATCAGTAGCTACGCCACTTGTCTGTCGAACATCTGTATGCTCGACCTTACTGACTTTACTCCGGTTTGTTGGGCTACTTAGCATTAGTGACACCAACGCAAACTGAAACTCAAAGCTAGGTACATAAACATGCAACCGGCTATGATTGATGTCAGACATAGGGACGATTTACGTAAAATCAGTAGGGCTTTTACATTACCCTACCAATTACGTCTAAACTACGTGTCTTAGAAAGTGACCGATAAGATTTCCTATCAAGAAATGACTATCCTTTTAGCAATTAACCAAAATGTAAAGATAATAAACATAGCAGACACATGTCAGTCACTGCAAATATTAATTGTTTGTTGACGGAATTCCCTTATTTTTAGATGAGTTTCCATAAAAATTCAAGCTGGTCAACACCAATATTTTCAGGGACATTTCCTGATATATTTTTTGTATTCCGTAAGCCAAACATTAATTTATTCGTAGTACTTTAGAGGACATATATTTATAATATTATCGATACGTGGATTATAATTAACCCAATGTAGTCGACTTGACTGATAAGTAAGAAAATACTGAGACTACGACATAGCTTGGTAAAATATGGGCTCATTCAAAGATACAAAGAAAAATGCAGGGGATTTACAACTACAAAGTAACTCACGTTTATCCATAACGATCTGAGCCAGTGTGAATTATGTCGCCAACATTATTTCAAGATTCAATATTCGGCGCCGCAGTAGTCTTCAGTCTTCAGTAATAAGGATAGTAGGTTGGTGAACCTGTATTAATCCTGACACATTGCTTTCCAGTGAAGGTCCAGCTTCTCCTTGAAAATATTCACTGATGGGACTGATACCACTTGTTCGGGTAAGGCGTTCCAATCATTGACTACTCGATGAGAAAAACGGGACCCCATTCTAAGTTTATTAAATCGCGGTTTATCAACCTTCTTGCTATGACCTCGGAGATTATTAGTGCTGAAGGGGGCAAAAAGATAAGACATATTAACACCCAAATCATGATTAAAGATACGAAATGCCAGTATAATGTCACCTCGCGTCCTACGATACGACAAGGCGAAAAGGTTTAGGCGTTTTAAACGCTCATCGTAAAAGAGTTTAGAAATACCCTTCACTAATTTCGTTCCCACGCCTTGGACACGCTAAAGTGAGTTGGTATCCTTTACCAGACATGGGATAGCTGCTTGGATACAGTACTCTAAGTGTGGTCTTACATAGGTGGGATATAACATTCGAAACACTTCCTCGTCAAAGCATTTGAATGCTCGGTGAAGTGACCATAACGCACGAAAACCTTTGACAGCGGCTGCGCTGCAATACGCAGTTGTTTTTAAGTCATGACTTATTATTACTTCTAAGTCTTTATGCTATTGAACGCATGGAAGAGGTTTACCATCAAAAGTATAATGGTAACTTACCGTGACCGATGTGCATTAGCACACACTTCCTAGCACTGATTTCTAAGCCCCACTCCCGAGCACATCTAACTAAATCGTCTAAGTCAGCTTGAAGATCCAGATGATCAGCCTCACTTTTTATTGTTCTCCAGATTTTTACGTCATCCGCAAACAATAATGTCGACGACCTAAGCAACAGCGGTAATTCATTAACGTAGAGAAGGAAGAGCGGAGGGCCTAAGATAGTGCCTTGGGGTACCCCACTTTTGACCGGCTTCCAATCGGATAGCGTCCCGTTGACTCTTACTCTCTGTCTGCGGTCATACAAGAAGTTGCCTATCCACTCCTGTACAGTACCTATTATTCCGAAACTCGTAAGCTTCTGCATAAGACCTAAATGTTAAACCTTGTTAAATGCTTTGCTAAAATCTATGAATATCACACCGACAGGCAGGCCTTTATCTAAGGCTGCTGTCCAATCCTCTCTCGTAACAAGTAAGTTAGTCAAGCATGAACGCTTGTTACAAACTCCATGTTGCTCAGGAGCTAACAGATTGTGTGAAACTATGTGGCTTAGCAACCTAACCCGAATTATCTTTTCAAGCAACTTAACGACCATGCTAGTTAGACTGACAGGCTGGTAGTTAGATACCATCTGTGTCTGACCATCCTTAAATATAGGACTGACTATAGCGTCTTACCAATCTCTAGGGAGTTGAGCGAGTGAGAGGGACGTGTTGAAGAGCGCCTCGAGCGGTTTTGAAATAATGTCCGCAAGAAATGACAGCAACCGTGGATGTAACCCGTCAGGGCCCGGTATCTTACCAGGTCTGAGGTTAGTGATCAACGGAAGGACAGTTTCCTCAGTTCCCTGTACAGATTCAATGGTTGGTATCTCGGTGTGAGTGGGACAAGTATTTGTTACAATAAACGTAGAGAAGACTTCGCTAAAATAGTTTGAAAAAGTCTCAGCTTTTGCCCGATCTGATCCAGCTAGTAAATCTGAATTTTCGTGTAACAGTAACGAGGGGATACCATCATTACGTTTCATTCGCCGTTTAACATACGAAAACAATCGGTTCGGACAAGTACAGCTATCATATACCAACTGTCGTTCGTAAGTATTACGGGATTTAGCTACGCTTTTCTTACAAATATTCCAGAATTTTTGGTACTCACACTTAAATTACGCGTGACCTGTCAACAAGAATAACTCTCAGAAGTGTTCCCCACGCTTTAACTGCTTCCCGGTATCCTTAGTAATCCATGGAGGGCAATGTGATAGCTTACATGCTGACCATGGGATAAACGGTGACGTTACGGACTCGAATGTAGCCTTAAACTTGTTCCATTCGTCTTCGATCGATCCATCCGCGTCAACCAACCAATCAGTCGAGATAGCACAACTTCTGATTGCCGGAATATTATATATATATATATATATATATATATATATATATATATAATATTGCACAACTAAGTATTAAGTTATATGTATTTCAATCTTTTATAACAACACAAAGCATCTCCGTTCTACCTGTTTCAAATCGACTTCTCAGTAGTGTCGTGTCGCAGCTGTAACCCAATCAGGACCAACTGTGATTTGTAGGACTATTTCGATTCACATAAAACATTTTACGGTTTTGTGGGTAGATTTTGGGAGTAACCTATCGAAACGCGTAAACGTAATATATTTTGTCATTCTATAACCTATCTGAAGAAACAAGTTAATAATAATAATAATAATTTATTCTCAAATAACAGTTTGTTACATGAGGCATGCCAGTTTACAGGCAAGATCAAAATGATACAAATGACACAATACACACTGTAGTAAATTACATAGCTGGGTTGATAATTTATAAGATATGAATGTAGTATGGTTTTAATCAGCACCACAGTTGGCGCGCTTCATGAAAGTTGCGTTGCAAATGTGCACTTGATGGTCAAGGATAGGTCCATTGAAGGTGGGAGCTTCTAAATGTCGCAACCTTATGTCCCTTTGGAATGTTTATGGCTTTGAAGATGGTGCAGGATGAAGTCACCCGTTCCATATCTCAAGTGGGCTGAAAGAGGGAGCAGGTAAAAGAAAGTGAGGATGCCACAGGTATTCAATGTTTGACAACGCTTTTACCAGTAACACCTAATATATTTCGTTCCCACCCAGAGAAATCAAAAGACAGAGTCAAGGAGATCGGAAGAGTGTATTTGGCGACTACCAACATATCGGAATTCTCTGATCTAATCTGGCTAGCGATTGTGGTAGATGTTGAGCACAGCGTTACCACACGTGATCTGGTGCGGATGCATGACCGAGCGCCTTCAGCTAGATGAGTCCACTAAAACATATGGTCAGCATCCAATGTCGAAAAACTTAGAGCTATTTATTTTAGGGATTTATTTACCGCTACAGATCAATCCCCTTCCCTAGTGGGGCAGTGACGACCCTAAGACGTGGCCAGCCAGAAGTTTAAACCCAACGAGTTTGTCGTTGGTAAACACTCTTCTGATAGCTTACTAAGTTTAGCAGCGTCTGGTCGTCTTTCCTTACTATATGGGACCGAGGTACAACATAGTAAAAAAAGAAAATGTACGATGAAAATTTCAGTTCCTCATAAACGTCATTGTTCTTTTCCAGCTGTCCTGGAAAAGAAAAAAGAAAATGTAAGCGCATGTCGAAATACACTCGTATGTGCGTAAAAACACAATGTCGGCTAAAAAAATGGAAAATAAACTCAAGCACACGTAATAGCGTTAAAAAAATAATTTCTTTGTTTTTTGTTTTTTTTTAAATAAAAATATAAATATATAAGCATATTAAAATTATCTTTTTTTAAAAAAAATTATGTATCGTAAAAAGAAAGATCGAGATAATATAAAATGTCGAGTAGTGCCTCACGTGCAGTAGTCGTCTAAATGTTCTGGAAATCTTACTCTTCTTCCATAACGCGTCGTTTAAAGTTTATTTTCAGATACATTCGGAGTATCATCGCTAGTGTTGGTTGTCAGTTGAGGAATTATGAGTGCAGTCGTGTCGTTCGATTGTACCGAAGGAACATCGACGTAGATCGGATTTCTTTCTAAATACGCTGCTTTGAGGCGATCGATGCTGATGCTATCGTTGGTTCCGTTCTTATCGATTATATAGTACTTCGGTTCGCGTTGAAGAACTTTGAAGGGTCCTTCGTATGCTGATTCGAAGGGTCGTCGATGCGAGTCTCGACGAACGAAAACGTGTGTACTATATCGTAAGTCAGGTTGAACGAAGACATCAGTTGATTGAGGTCGAGTGGATGCAGGTTTAACTGAACGCATTGCGTTTGTAAGCCTGTTCGTGTAGGAAGTAGATCCATGTTCATTGAAGAGGACGAAGGATCCACGAATTCTCCTGGAATTCGAAGTGTCCTTCCATAAACGAGTTGAGCTGCAGTGTATCCAATGTCAGCTTTCACTGCATTGCGGATACCTAGTAAGACGAGTGGAAGAGCGTCCATCCACTGTGAAACGTTTGCAGCTGATAGTGTAGCTTTTAGTTGTCGGTGAAACCGTTCTACCAACCCGTTTACTTGTGGATGGTAGGCGGTCGTTCGGAAGCGAGTGATTCCTAAAAGTGTGGTCAGACGACGGAAAAGATCGGATTCAAACTGACGTCCGCGGTCTGTAGTGATGGTTGAAGGGCAGCCGAAGTTTGCTACCCATCGTTCGACGAAGGTGCGGGCCACTGTTTCAGCAGTGATGTCCTTGATAGGTTCTGCTTCTGGCCATCGAGTGAAACGGTCTACGCAAGTTAAGAGGTAAGAGTATCTATTTGAATCTGGTAAAGGTCCTACCAAATCCAGATGAACATGGTCGAGAAGAGCGTCGGCAGTTTCGAAAGAGCCTAAGGGACATTTATTGTGTCTGATAACCTTAGATTTTTGGCAGCTTACACAGGGGCGTGCCCACTCCCTCACGTCTTTATTCATTCCAGGCCAGCAAAACCGTTCTGCTATAAGCTTGATGGTTGCACGAACACCTGGATGAGAAAGTTTGTGCAATGTATTGAAGACATTGCGTCGCTAATGTTTCGGCACGATTGGGCGATCCCTACCTGTAGATGTGTCACAAAGTAAGGTTTCCTTACCTGTTCCCATCTGTTTGATGCGTAGTTTAAGGGTTGTGGACGATAACTCGTGCTGAAGATCAGTGTCTTCTTTTTGAAGCTCGGCGAGTTTAAGAAGGTCGATTCCTTGGAAACTGTTCAAGGAAGTTATGCGAGAAAAGGCGTCTGCAACTACATTGTTTGCTCCAGAGATGTGTTGAATATCTGAA